AAGACATTTTTTTTTCTTGATCCATCATATCAATTCTCATTAATTAATTGTAGTGGTGCATAATATCTTGAAAGTATTATGTCATATCACTATATAATTGATAAAAATAGTATAGATCACTTAAGTTGTTGTATACTGTTCTAATTATTCTTACTTATCAGAACAAAATTAAATGGAATGTTAGGCACAAATTAAATATACCAAAATCCTTCTGGGAGAATTAATGGTACGGATCACACTCCATGAATTCCACCCAAATTTGCTTGACGACTTGGATTCTTCTTTTTATTTTTATAGAAAAACCATGCATATATATTGCTTATTATATTGCATATTATAACTTTAGTCAAATTAGTCGAACAATTGACTTAGTAACACAAGGTTATAAGTTCCTCTCAGATCGATCTGTGTATTAACTCTTTTAGTTTGTACTGATTAATACTTTTGTTGGCTAAGTCACAAGATAAATTTTACTTAAAATATAATGTATTTTTGGACGGATTTTTCTGTAAATTAAATGGTACATGAAATACAGAAATATATATATATATGTAGTGGAGATGATGCTCATCATTTTGCCAGCAAATATTCCATCTCCATTAAGCCAAGCAAGGAGTCCCATCGCCGTCGAAGCTGAACTCACCACACTCCCAATTCAACTTTTTCTCATTAGTGGCCTTACGCACATCGACTTTCTATCAACTAACCAATAATCCAACTAAAATTCAGCTTCTTATACAATAACTCGCAAGTCGGTCACATAGAAGACATAAACCACGTTAAAAAGATTCATGTGTGATGAACTCAACCAAAAGAGCGTTAACAATAATTAAACTTGTCATGATATTTAAGCACCAAAATCATATTTCATACATATTTTCAATCACTCTTTTCGACCACCCCGCCTTCTAACATTCACCTCTAACATAACATAGTAATACAATTCTTTAAACTACAATTAGTTAAACATTAAAGCCAAATTAAGTAAAGTAGTACGGAGTATTAATATGTAAGCAAGGAAATTGGTCATCAGCATCAATCATTAGTACTTTTTCTAGAGGTTATGGGGTGGCCAATGGCCATGGCGGATTCCATTAACCACAAAAAAAAAAAAAAAAAAAAAAAAAAAAAAAAAAAAATCCCTATTGGAGGTAATTAATTTTGTAATTTAACAATGAGTTGAGGCCCGTATGCCTAACTCACCTCATCACTTTGTAAGATTGCCTCTGTCTACCTCCATTTTGATAGAAATTAGAGTTATCTGAGTGACATAAATCAATGATAATAACCCTAACAAATTAAAAAAAAAAAATTTGATGTATGATGTTATCACTTTTTATGTTGAAAACATATATCTTTTTCAACTTACTTCCTAACAAATTTGAGACGTAACAAAAAATATTGTTACTAACTAAAATTGTCACAAATTTCAATGTAAAATAAAAGGAAAAAAAAATTGGTTGGTATATATTTGTGTTAGCTTGTATAGTATGTTTTCTTTAATTTTTTTTGTATACTCACAAATTCTTTATAATTTTATCATTTTTATTTTGTCTTTAAATTCTAAAATTGTTAATACCGTTAAACAGCATGTGAAAACCTACCAAACGCAGCCTAACTATAAGAAGATAGTTTTAACAGACATGCCGGTGTTTAGGTACAAACGCATTTGATGGATTGAAAGAGACATGCTTTACATTGAATTCCTAATCAAAATTTATTGCCAAAAATCATAAAATTTTGATTTATTCACATTTTCTGATCAACATCAAAAGTTAGGTTGAAGAAAATTTACGACTTTTCAACTTTTTCGATCATAGTTGGTCGAGACTGAAAAGTTGTTAGAATTTTCAACTGCCAGTTAAAAAAATTCAAACTAAATTAACATTTACAAATTTAGAAATGTGTTTTCATGTTCCATACGATGATGATTACAAATTAATTATATATAATAAAAATGTTTCTTGAATAAATTAAAGAAATTGATTTTTTTACGGTGTTTTATCTGTTAACTGGTTTATATTAAGGACGAGATCATATTGTTGTTGGGTAAGATTGTGCTCAATGCTACATTTAATTAGGAAAAATAATAAATATTTCATATTATTTTGTGGATGGAGTTGCGTAAAGAATAGTGTGGTGGAAAGTGGTACAGTTCTAAATTCATGTTAATCCATCTCATGTTGTATAGCTTCACGCATCTATACATATAGGTATTCGATTCGTGAAGAATTCATGAACATATAAATACATGTTGTGCACTTGTGCATATAATATATAATAGAGTTAATTCCTTGGTAATACATTTATATAGGTGGTAGTCCAGTTTTAGTCATTTTTTATCAGAACATCCTAATTTGATCATAGTATTATTGTGGCACGATAATTTTTTTGGGTCATTTTTTACCAACAAAATCGTTTAAATGTCGTTGAATATAAAAGCATTTCGGTCTCAATTATAAATTAAAAAAAAAAAAAGTAAACATAAAACTATAGCACGTCATCCCACTTTGTATAAAAAGATCAAAATGCCCTTTGTATTTAATAACATTTCAACAATTTTGTTGACGGATAACCAAAAATAGTAATGCCACAATAATACTATGACCAGATAATGGTGTTCATATTAAAAAAATACTAAAAGTGAATTATCACCTATAAATCTTGAATCAGAATTGGAATTAACTCTATAAAATAATAAAATAAAATAAAAATAATAATAATAATAAAAGGTTATCTTGTTTAAGAACTCCATCGAAGTTAGTTGGACAGTTGACTTAGTAATTACAAGTTTCAAGTTCAACTCATCATGCGAACGATTTACGGTCTACTTCTTTGTAGTTCTGGATAGAATCACAAGATAAATCTCACCCAAAATACATTACCAATTTTTCTATAAATAAAAAATTACTCCGTATTTTTTTTAAAAAAAATACTATTTCCTTGATCTTTTAAACTTATTTTTTAATGTCACCATTTAACACAACATTATTAATTAATAAAACTGTTTGAAAGATTTTATATTAATAAATTATCCGTGAATTAACTTACTTTTATAAAGAAAAAAAAAATTATATTTAAGATTTAATAGTGTTTTTTTTTTCAAGTGTGGCAAAAAATGACACATTTTATACATGTGCAAAAAATTGATAACAACCTCAAAATTATCTCATCTAAATTCATGTAATTTTATTTTTGCACGTAAAATAAATGATTCAAACGGTCTATATATGTATCCTATCATTTTCCAATCAAAACAAAGCAACCTCAAAGAAAAAGACATTGTAATAAAACTAGAAACTCATTTTTAATGTGGCAACGGGAAAGATCAGATGTGCAAAAGCCTCAATTTAGCTATGTGTATATGTGCATGAATATATACATATGTGTATATATGCTAATTAATCTTTTTTTTTTTATCATATATATATATATATATATATATATATATATATATATATATATATATATATATATATATATATAAACCTTGAAATATGGCACAAAGATTTACACTAAACTTCATAATCAGTAAAATCTACAAAAAATTTTCAAAGATGGACAACTAACAAAAACTCATAACCCCCCCACCCCAAAAAAAAAAAAAAAAAAAAAAAAAAAACATGAAGTTTGTTTCAAAACGTCCCTTTTCTTTTCTAAAACCCTATTACTTTCCTATGCCTGACCTATTAGTTCATCCCTTCCGGCGGCGGCAATCGAAAGTGCATGATGAAATCGGAGTGGAAAATAAACCAATACTAGAAATCCATTCTCCGGTCCCGAAAGGCCTATTGCCCAAGGCTTGATGATCCTCCCATCTTTGGCATAGCAGCGGATTATCGGTATTGGCAACAAATGGATGATTGAGTAGCTTATCAGCAGTCCATCTAACGTTTGGGTTTCTTTCGAAACACTTCATCAGAAAATCATTGGCATGATCAGATATGCCGGTTGGGATTTGAGGTTGCTTGAAGGCCATGTCTTGAGCTAACTTATCGTCGTTGTTACCGTTACAGAACTTCCATGGCGATTCTCCGGTCATCATCTCGGCCACCATGCACCCTATGGCCCATATATCCTTAGGCGCCTCGTGCATGCCGCAAAATAGAGATTCCGGGGAGGTGTAGAGTAAAGCTCCCCGGTGACCTCCCTCTCCGGCGACCTTAGATAGCCGAAAATCGCCTATCTTGAGCTGATTCAAGTTGCATCCGCACCTACATGGGAAGAGAAGAATGTTGTTGGGCTTCAAATCGCAGTGGACAATCCCGAGACGATGCACCTCTAAGATTCCCTTCAAAAGTTGATAAGCATATAGTGAAGCCTCCTCCTCCGGGATGAATCCTTCCCTGGAATTCATCCATCTCTTGAGTGTTCCACCAGGAGCGTACTCCAGCAGAAGATTGTACATAGTGTTCCCATGCTCTACGCTCGTATCCTCTCCTAAACAATGAATTATATAGGGACATCTTTGCAACTTTCTCAAGATTTGCCCTTCTCCCCAAAGTGAACTTGAAAACTCAACCTTTGAAGATTTTGCGACTAACTTCATCGGAACACTGAAAGTAGGTGGATTATAATATTGAGCAAGAAACACAATTCCATGGGCTCCCCCACCAAGGAGTTCCAACTTTTCGCAAGGCATAATGATGATGAGTACTAAGGTTCGTATATAGTAAGATCGAAGATGATGAAGAATTGGAATTGATGATCCATCAAGTATTGGATACAAAAGTAGTATTATATAGGACTTGGGATAATCTCTCAGTCCAACTAAGTTTAGTATTGTGTAACCTCTCAATCCAATTAAGTATAGTATTAGGAGAAAAAATCAGTAGAAAATTATTACATTATGATGCAATTTTTATTTATTATTTATTTTGGAAAATAAATAGTTATTAAATTAGTATCCAATTATAATTTTATACGGAGTATGATTCACCAAGATTCCTGTTTCCTGTCATATTCTCTCTTCCGCGAAGTTTGGACGCTATATAAGGCCACCTCATCACTTCCTCCATACCATCGGAAATTCTTACAACCGCTTTCTCTCTCTATAACGTTCACTTTCTCTCTCCTTCGCACGGTAATGGCGCTTCGTAGAACCCTAACGAAGCGCCTATTCAACTGTAAAAACGCCGACTCCGCTGATGCAGTCATCTCATCACTCCAACACTCTCCGGCTGCGGCCGGAAACCGCCTAGCTCCGGAGAGTGCTGCCAGACTGAACTTCCACAGAGAGCTTCTCACGTCGCCGGGCGGAACGGTCGGTGGATTTTCCCGGCGGTTCCTCCACAGGAGAGCGATCAACCAAGCCTCAAAACCGCCGGATTTTTCCTCGGTTCCAGTCGGAGATAAGCTGAGAGAAAAGTTATGGCTGATTAACATTTCCGGCGATAGACTCCGCCTCGACGGACTCGTTCCCCCTCCGCCGGTTCCGGAAGACGTGATCGGAGGAATTTCAGTTAACGATGCGAGGAAGATTCTAAGGTCTTATCAACTGCAGAAGTTGATATTGAGGATCAGAGAAATTCCGGTTAACTCCGTCTCGTATTCGGAGTTCGTTCAGATTTGCGGCGAAGTTTGTAACAATAGAGAGCAAGGTCTGGAGTTCGCAAAGACGTTGGATCAATCCGGCAGCGTTATTGTTCTCGGCGACGTCGTTTTGCTCCGCCCCGATCAGGTAAATGACCTAATTTCATCATAATTTTAGATTTCTAGTTTATAAACTTATAATAACTGCATATATTCTTGAAACGATGAGTATATAATGTATTATATTATACAATTTGATCAAACAGGTAGCAAAATCTATGGAAAAAATGATTTCTGAATCAATCGCGATGCCAAACGACCCGAGAAGGAACGAGCTTGAAGTGATGGAGAAGCAAAAGGCCATGATAGACCAAAAGGCCCAATCATTAGTAAGAGGGGAGCTATATTGTGGGCTGGGCTTTCTTGCTTTGCAAACATTGGGCTTTATGAGGCTGACTTTCTGGGAGCTAAGTTGGGATGTGATGGAGCCCATTTGCTTCTTCGTGACCACCCTTCACTTTGGGCTCGCCTATTCCTTCTTCCTAAGGACATCCAAAGAGCCCAGTTTTGAAGGGTATTTCCAGAGGCGATTCAAAACCAAGCAACAAAAATTAATGAAGATTCATAATTTTGATGTAGAAAAGTATAATAAGCTCAGGAATGCGTTCTACCACATGGGTGATGATTATCACCTTACTCCTGCTTGAGTGTACATATAATCAGTTTTCAAGCTATAAACACCATTACAAGTATGAAAAATATAACCAAATTTCAACTGTTTGAATTTTTTGTCAGGTAAACTGATTTATCTCCTTGTGAACATCTATTAATGTACACCTGTAAATAATGACTACACATTTTTTTTGCCACTTAGAAAAATATGAACATGCTAAAGCAACAATATATTTACAATAACTTTGAGGTCCTTGGGGAATACAACGATCATCCTTCCTCCACCCCACTATAAAAGAATAATAAATAAATAAATAAATAAATAAATAATAAAAACTTGGGCCAACTTGGTATCACATAGTCATATTCAACTTGGACTAATTTAAAGTAAAAACACTATTGAACTTTAGTAAGATGTCATATTCAACTTGGACTAATTTAAAGTAAAACCACTATTGCACTTTAGTAATGAAAAACATCTTAAGCTCTTAATGTATATACAGTTATCAATGAATATGAGAATTTTTGATATATCAAATCATAATGGGTATAACTTGTAAGGTGTTATAGCTTGATGTCCAAATAACTAGCAGAAGCTAGGTATACACAAGAAAACCCTACATATACTTTGAACCAAATGGATGAATAGAATGTAAGAAATATGAATAGGGTGGTGAAAGCAATCACTACTGCAAAATTAATCAAGCATTTTGCAGTGGAGAGTTGTTCTTCTGTTCCTTGGTGAGGGAAGTGGCCATTGGCAATGAAATCAGAGAGTAACCGATCTTTGGACTCGAAAATCTCCATTAACCAAGCTCCAACACCCTCCGATTCTGGCATCACCTCGATCGGGATGCGCCTGACGTGCATGTGCACTTCGGATGGATCTACTCCAAACACATTGTCGATGAGAGAAGGGCATCGGTTCTTGTATGCAATTGTTATGTCGTAAACTGCCAAATAAGCAAAAAGGCGAGAAGCATTAAGTCAAGAGCAGATTGACAGACTATGGCCCTGTTTGATAAAATAGTTAGCCTATCAACCAATTTTGGCTTATTTGACCACTATTAATTGTTTGATTGGGTTAAAAAATCAATATAAGTGTTTCGTTAATTAGCTTTTTGTAACTCCAAAATGCTAAAATTCAAAAAGTTGCTCAAAGTAACTTTTTCAATTAGCTTTTTGAGAAAAGAAATTTTGATAAACAACTATCACCTAACAGCTAATTTACCAACACCTTTCTACAATCAGTTAATATTATCAACTAGTTATACCATCTAATTAACCCAAACAGCTAACAGCTAACAGTCATTTACCAAACAGGCCCTATAAGATACAGATGAATTGACATAAGAAAAAGAACCTGCATCCAAGGAATGCCTCAGAGTATCCAAGCAGGCAGTGAAGCCCTTTGACTTGGGGAGCAGCACGTTCTTCATCACTGGAAATCCATTTTCAGCAGCAAATTTTTGGCTTCTAATGCACTTTTGTTCACTGCAAACAAAGAAGAAACACTTCAATGCTCGATAGTGATATACGTAGCTTAGTGCACAGCTGTTAAAAATTGAATCTTTAGCAATGCTTTATTATTGGTGACTGTGAGATTAACGTCACAGAGATTCCAATTTCCAACTAGGTAGAGGAATAAAATCAAGAATCCAAGAAAACACGTAGAATACAATACTCTGTATTATCTTGTAAAGCAAGGAGAATAAGAATCTCTTACGTGAAATCAGTTCCTTCTGGAAACACAGCTAACCACAACGGATCCTGCGGGTTGGTAAAAGTTGAAAGCATCGACTGCATGACAGGTTCGTCCACTTCCCATTTCCTCTCCAGAGGGATGAACTCTAGGATATGAAATCCCCAACCAAAGATCGGTAATTTCATCAAACTTTTCTTGAGTACATATTTCATGTGACCCAAGCATCCCTTCCTCAACGCTAGATCCCACAAGTACATCCAATCCACCTCGGTTCTGTGGTTGGCAATCAGCAAAACACGCTCCCCTGCTGGAACTCGATCTCCCGAGAAAATCACTTTGGTTTTATTTATCTTCTCGAACAAAAATGGCCATAATCCTAGCCAAATGCCAAATAGAAGAGAAACTACTTTCCTGCTACAGTTAACGCTGAAAGGGCGCAAGAGTAATACTGCCACGGGCACAAAGTATATCAAGAACATCAATGCAGTCGAAAGGAGAACGGCTAAACATATCACACCCCTAATAATTCTGAGAGTACTCAAGGGGCAGTGCTTGGACCCTTCAGTGGACTCGAGGCTCGTCATGCTTTCTTCACTGTTAAAGCCTAAGATCTGATGGTGTTGCAAAGTATGTACCGGATAAAGTTCCTCATTCAATTCCAACAACCTTATTTACCAGTATAAATTATACGAACCCCCTTATCTGCAATTAGTAAAAGATGAAAGCTGGTGAGAAAAAAATATAATGCAAGTATCTTTTACAGTGAAATTTCTAGTGGGCGATCAACCCAGGACCCAAAACGAAGAAATAATACTGGCACCAAAGGGAAATTACAGTATCTTGCTTGCTTATAATAGCTATTCATCACAAGAAGATGCAGATTAATTCTTTAACAATTTGTGTCTAATTCTAGACCATAGGTCCCTCGTGGACACATTGGGTGCAGGGTGTCAAGAATTTCCTACACCATTGCTGTCCTCTTGCTGCAGGGCATTCAAGATTGGTAGAAATTAGACATGAGATGAAGGGAGCAAGTAAGGACTGTTTCTTATCTTAGGCAATTCAATTATTCAATTGCCTATGATCCAACAACAAGACTTACTGTTTACTCTCTCTATGATTAACTTACCACATTTCAACTCATGTGACCAAAAACATCCAAGGCCCACCTTTAGTTATACCCCAAGAGACCAAGAACTTTCCAAACATCCAATCAGTTCAAAACCAAATCTGACATCTCTCAACTCCCTGCATCTTTTTGTTCATAGTACCCCTAGTCCTAACTAACAAAGCTACCTTATATAGACTCAAATTCTAAATATAGTGGAAGGAAAATCCATAATTTTGAAAAAAGTCCATAACTTTTGCAAGGTAATATAGAACAGTAAAATTGTTTTCAATGTCACTTCAAAGAAAATAGACAACATTTTCAATACAGCTCTACTTCAAATACCATTAAAGTTTAGCAGCAGTACCTTGTTCAAGTATAAACAAATAAATTGACCACTAATACTAAAGGTAAAGGCTTTCAAGAATAAAGATTCCCGACATACATCAGATCCAAGACAGAAGAAACCCAGATTTTATGTTGGGTTAATGCGGAAAAATGAAGCAACCCAGATAAGTAAACACATACACAAGACTAATCATGACCCGTTCTCTTGAAATTCAATCAAAACCACTTGAGCTTTCTGCATGTGCATTATCAGCAGCATTCCATACGAGACAGACATACACCCATAGATACAGATATGGATATAGATACACGCGTAGAGAGAGAGCGAGAGGGAGAGAGAGAGAGAGAGATAAAGAGAGCGGAGGGATCAAACCTTTTGCAGAGTGCATCGAAAACGCCGAAGGCAAAAGAAGCAGCAGAAGAGAGGGAGGGAATAAGAAAGTTGTTCAAGCAACGAAAGGGTAAGCCGTAAGCGTCATCTTAAATTCTTAATAGTTATCTTGTGTGGTCAAGTACGACCAACATTTAATCATTCTTAAATTAAATATTCAATATTTACTCAAAAAAATATATATTCAATATTTCTTTTGAATATTCAACATGTTTCAATGTTGAGAATGTATTATTATTATTATTATTATTATTATTATTATTATTATTATTATTATTATTATTATTATTATTATTATTATTATTATTACTACTACTACTAGTAATTCACCCGCGCGGTGCACGGAAAAAAAATTATGTTGTTATAAATATAAATAAAAAATAGAAAAATTAAAATATTTTAAATTATTTAATATAATAATATTTTTGAGCTTCCATTGGTCAAGTATTTATTATTTTTATAGAATACAAAATTACAATTAAAATTAAAATTATAATTATAATTTTGTATGGTTAATATAATCTCTAATTATGTACATATTCAAATAAACTTATAGAGATAATTTACATAATTAGATTGATTTATTCTTAATTGTATTTCATCTATATTATAATTTTCACAATACAAATAATAACTAAGATAATTACATTTGGAAAGCAAATTTCAAATTTTGTATGTGTAAATTTAAACTCTAATTGAACACATTTTTTATATGATTATATAATATATAGCTATTTTATTTTTCAAAAGTATATTTTTTATATGATTATATAATATATATCTATTTTATTTTTTAAATGTTGTTTCTTTTTATAATAAAGGATGTTGTGGCATTAATTATAACATTAATTATTTCCCAAATCATATAGCTTTATTATATAAAGGATTATTATTATTATTATTATTATTATTATTAAAAATAAATTGTGATATGTTAAAAGTAACTACTATTAAATTTTTTTTGTGACAGGAGAAATTCAAGATTCTGTATTGGATAAAATTTAATTTGGTGTACTTTATTATTAACTTTTTATAGTAATGGTTATGATACATTTATAGCATTTTTGAATTTTCCTGATTAACATAATAATTGCTATATATTAACATATATGAAGTTATACTAATATGAAATAAGCTTTCAAAAAAATGAAATAAATATTTATGGTATATAATTTGACTCGTTTGTATAAATTAATAGGTGTCGAGAATTCGATTTAAAATTATTGTTAGTTTGAAAATTCTGAAAATAATTTTTAAAGATTATTTTTCAAAATTTTAAGTGTTCAACTGTCAACAAAAAATATATTGTAGATTTGTAGTTATAGAAAAAAAAAAAAAATTGACGAAAAATGTTAAATTAGATTTTTAATTTGAAGACATTTTCTAAGAGTTAATATCATTTAAGGTCCTCCGAGTATAGTGGTTTTGCCACATTTAGTCATAAACTTTCAAATTGACCATCTATGGTCTTTCGATTTTCAAATTTAACCATTTATAGTCCAAGTTAACCACCCATAGTCCTTCAAGTTTCAAAATTTAACAAATGGTGGTCCTCTTGAAAGGACCATGGTTGGTTACAATTTAATAGTTGAAGGACCATAGGTGGTTAACTTGGACCACGAATGATTAAATTTGAAAGTTGAAGGACCACAGATGGTCAATTTGAAAATTTATGACTAAACGTGATAAAACCAGTATACTCGGAGGACCTCAAATGGTATTAACTCCATTTTTCTAAATAATGTCAAGTTTTTTATCTATCCCTTTTTGTCATGCTTGGGTTGCTCATATACTCCTTTATCTTCGTGCCGTCTCAACCTGGCTCTTTGCCCAAGTCAATCAAATCCAATTATCCAAATATGTATTCATATCCTTTTTTTTCTTGTTTAATTTCTACTAGTATTTGCGCCTGTGCGTTGCACGGAATGAATTTGTTATAATATTTTATAAATATTTAGATCGATATACAATTGTATAAATTATAACATCGAATATTATATAATATAATTGAAGAATTGAGTTGCACCGATTATGTTTTCTGATGTTATCAATGCTTGAATTTGAGTAAATAATTGCCCAATTAATAGCTAACGTGTAGATATACGCATTCGGTGCTGCAACTTTAGAGATTTTATATATCAGTGTTTAGAATTTGTATTAATTGGGCTAATTAGCTCGTTGTCTAGCAATTCAGTTATAGAAATTATTTATACGGAAGATATATTTTCTATGTAGATATATAGCAATTTTGTCATCTTTATATATAAAAAACCATAATATTAATGACTTGAATTATACATTATTGAAAATCTCTTTGTAGACAACATTGGTAGTAGTAACACAATTTTATTCATCCTCGTCTAGAGTTAAAATCACCAAACCATCAGGATGGGTGACTCGGGAAAAAGTCACATACAATTAACCGTGATTAAAGACTGATTTTTTCAGTAATAACTCAACGTGAGTTAGTGTTTGACCCTGACTTTTGTTGATAGTCGTGGCATATGCGAGCATCAACATGAGTTGTTTTCGTTAGAACTTGAAGGGCAATCTCGTATCAGAAGGGTGAAATACATTTTAATTGAAGATTTTACTTTTATTAATAGTATAAATATAGATTGGTGTCAATAATAATTAATAAATTATTATTTCCTTATAAAATTACATAAAATTTCAAATGGATTTTCTCATTTATTACGTAGAATTTGTTTCTGTTATTCTTACAATTATAATGGTTTAATTATTCTCAGAATTTGATAACCATTTTTCTTTTTTAAGTTGACTTTAATTTGTGATAAAAATTCATTAGATATTGGTTAATTTTCATATAAAATTTTGTTACCAATTAAGCTTTATTAATTTTTTTTATCAATTAATTAATATTCACATTAATATGGGCGGAAATGTTGAAGATGCGAATTTTACTTTTATTAATAGTATAAAGTAAATAATAATTAATAAATTATTATTTCTTTATAAAATTACGCAAATTTCGAACGAATTTTCTCATTTGTTACGCAGAATTTGTATCCATTATTTTCACAATTATAATAATTTAATTATTCTCATAATTTGGTAACCATTTTCTATTTTTATGTACATATTGACTTTAATCTGTGGTAACAATTCATTAGATATTAGTTAATTTTTATATAAAATTTTGTTACCAATTAAGCTTTATTATTTTTTTACTAATTAATTAATATTCATGTTAATTTGGGCTGAAATGTTGTAAATGAGGATTTTACTTTTATTAAAGTCATTTCACTAAGAACCTGGAGCTTGTGGTTGAGTGGAAGGGACACATCCATCCTTATTAACCAAAGGTGAACAACTTTAAATCTCCAGGCCAAAGCATAAATGATATTGCAATAATTAATTTATTTATGATCATTGGTGCACATATTTGATTTATTTATTTTTTCTTTAATTATTCTCGTTGTAAACATAAATGATATTGCAATAATTAATTTATGATATTTAGCAAGTTGTATTTTTTTTTTAAATATAAAATTTTCTCATGTTTAGGGATTAAAAAATATTTTAGAATTATTTTTATTAGTAAGTAATTTTATTTTTAAAATATTTTTCAGCAACCCAAACACTCCATTAGTCTATAATAAAAAAAATGAAAAATAAAAGTTGTTTCATTAAGAAAATTAAAACTAATTAAAGTAAATCTAATCATGCTATATTTATTTATAACTGTATATTAATTTCATTTTGAAATCAGTGGTTAACATCTTTGAATTATTTATTTTTTTTTCAACTATTATAAACAAAAATTATGATATTTATCAAATTGTATTTAAAAAAAAAAAACATTTACACATGTTATGAGGGATTAAAAAATATTTTAAATTATTTTTTATTAGTGTGCATTTTTATTTTAAAATATTTTCCAGCAATCCAAACACTCCCTTAGCCTCCCATCAAAAACGGATAAAGAAAAGTCATTTCATTAAGAAAATTAAAACTAATTAAAATAAATCTAATCATGCTACATTTATTTGTAACTCTATATTAAGTTTATTTTGAAATATTTGGTTCACATATTTGAATTATTTTTTTTTCTTTAACTATTATAAACAAAAATTATGATATTTATCAAATTGTATTTTTTAAAAAAAATATAACATTTACACATGTTATGAGGGGTTAAAAAATATTTTAAATTATTTTTATTAGTATGCATTTTATTTTAAAATATTTTGCACTAATCCAAACACTTCCTTAGCCTCCCATAAAAAATTGATAAAGAAAAGTCATTTCATTAAGGAAATTAAAACTAATTAAAGTAAATCTAATCATGCTATATTTATTTGTAACTGTATATTAATTTCATTTTGAAATCATTGGTTCACATATTTCAATATGTTTTTAATTATTATAATTTATAAACAGAAATAATATTGTACTAATTAATTTATGATATTTATCAAATTGTATTTTTTAAAAAAATATAAGATTTACACATGTTATGAGGGATTAAAAAAATATTTTAAAATTATTTTTTATTAGTAAGTATTTAAAAAAAAAATCACCAACTCAAACACTCCCTTAGTCTCCATAAAAAAACTGATAAAGAAAAGTCATATCATTAAGGTAATTAAAACTAATTAAAGTAATTGTAATCATGCTATATTTATTTGTAACTATATATTAATTTCATTTTCAAATCATTGGTTCCCATATTTGAATTATTTTTTTTCCTTAATAATTATTATAAACATAAATAATATTGTACTAATTAATTTATGATATTTATCAAATTGTATTTTGTAAAATATAGTGTTTTACCGGGAAAATTTTTTGTTGTTATGAATTTAAAATTAAAATAAAAAAAATAAAAAGATGTTAAAATGTACAATATAATAATATAGTTGGATTTTTATATATTTGGTCAAGTACCTATTTTCATAACATACAAAATTAAATTTTAAATATTGTATGGTTAATATAATCTCTAATCATGTACATATTTAGATAAATTTATAGAAAAAATTTATAGAATTAAATTGATTTATTCCAAATTGTATTTCATATATATTATAATTCTAAAAATATGAATAATAATAATTAAGA